TCCAAGTTCTAAAATAAAATCGTGATGAGTCCTACCGCCTCAAGAGAGCATGCAAGAGTCTCATGGTGCAGTTATAGTTATTCGAAGATTTGCAGCTTTGCGTTGTCTGAAAATCTTGCCTTGCAGTTTAACGATTTTGATCCTAACTTCGTTATTCGTTTCAAGTTTATGTGATTCGAAGTATAAAAATAATAATCAATTTTCAAACTTCTTTGGGTAAGCAGTGCTTCATTAGCAGGAAACACCACCGGATACTTTCACAAACTGATTGCGGTGGACGCACGGGTCGTGAGTATGGGTTGAAGTTTTTTTTTCACCAGCGTGCGATAAAAAATTCAGCATTTGGTTAACGCACGTTGGCGAAAAAAACTTCAAAATACCGGATACTTTATTGTAGGTTATGAAAATACGTTAACAGTTGTATCTTTGTGTGCATAATTACCCACTCTCTGAGAGAATACTCGTATGTCATTAGATTTGGACTCCCGGGATATGGAAATGTTGGCAGCAGAAATTGACGGTCATTTGGACAGTGAGCCTAATACTATCGTGCGCATATTCCATGCATCTGCTGGCCGTCCAATATAATTTTGATTTAGAGGATTCGGAGGTAAGATCAACCATTTATCCCGCATAACCTTCAGCGTGGGCAAGAGGGGAAGCAATCAATTGCAATTTTTGGGCGAAAAATAGGTTCAATCACTTTAGTTATACTAGAATAGTAATTTTGGAACGTGAAGCTTAACTCCTTCAATTTCCCCTACAAATCCTTGTTTATTCCTTTCCCCTTTTTCATGAGTAAAAAGTGAGTAGAGCGCATGAGATTACTATTGGGGACTAGGTAGGTACCCGCTAATTTTTATCTTATTTGATTCATGAACGTTGCCACAGTGCCACACCCTGGTAAAAATTGACGATAGGAGCTGCGTTTCAAAATACCATAGGAGTTCTTAAAGCCGACTAAAAAAGGCTATTGAGAATCATATAGCTGGCTGTAGAAAGCGGAGCAAATCATATAGCCGGGCTATACGAAGCTATAAAAAAGTATACAGTCGGGCTATAGTTCCTATCGCCGGGCTTTACACTTTATTGCCATTGGCTATAAAAGGCTATAAGAAATTGTGTAGAAATTCGTGTACTTTGGAAATCATTAAGTTTGATACGGAACTACCTTAATATTTACAAAACTTACATTATACTTTCCTTTAAAACATATTTATTTTCATCAATTAAAATGAGAATAATCCATACAGAGTGTGCAAACATTTCAAAATCATGAGTTGAAAAACGCTGACTCCGCGAGATTAAATATTAGAGCCTAACTCAAAGCGGAGCGGCGACGCACTGGCGCCTACAAACCTAACAGGGATACCTCACGCATTGCGCAATGCGTGAAGTATCCCTGTTAGGTTTGTAGGCGCCAGTCAGTAGGGTTTGTAGGCGCCGCGCCGCAGCGTGCCACGGCGTCTGAAGCAACTATTTCACACCAGATGTATTGCACAGTATCATAAGAAATTGAAGGCGCTCCATCATATTAAGAATGACAGGCATCCTTCTAAAGTACGGAGCTTTCCTCGCAAAATAAATCAAGATACTACGGCACAGAGTGGTAGTCCAAAAACTAACTGAGTCCTAGTATCCGTATTTAGTAACGTTTAGCATAAACTTTATCGTCTGGCTGTTGCTTAATCGCCATCGGCTATAAGAAATTGTACAGCCGGCTACAGAAGCTATTGGAAATCTTACAGCCGGCTTTAGGTCTATAGTATTTTGGAACACACATGCCAATTTTTACCAGGGCAATGTTGAAAAATAATATATACCATCGTGAAGTTTTGAGGAACTTTAACTCTAGGATGTACATAGTGGCCAAAAGAGCATCTACAATGTCATCCTTATAGAAATACATTTTCACATTTTTTAACTTAATCCTGAATAATCACACCAGGCTGAAAGCGGAATTAATTGCTGCTGATGGCAGCCATAGTTAAACGAACAGCAATTGGACGTATTTATGCTAAAAGACATTATGTTCCACGAAAATCCGACGCACATAGTTCCTTTTAGCATAAATGGGTCCGATTGAGGTTTTGGGTGCAGAAAAGGTATTTCTTGGTTGCGGTGTTATAGAAGCTCCCATGCTAATTTTTATTCTAAAGAGAAAACTACTGGGTGCATTAGTTCAAAATTTACGTTTCCAGCACTGTAAAATCATGAAGGATATTCAGGAAAGGTTCCAACAAATTAAACTCATTTGCTTTTTTATAATGGATGAAACATCAGCGGAAATTTTGAGACATTGCAATCAAGAAATGCCCTTTCTGCAATCTACACCCAGCACTTCAATAAAATTTAGCTGAGAACCGTTTCCTCCATGCTCAGAGGGGGGTCCAGCAATTTTGCAACGCCGGATTCCCTCCTTTTAAACCTATGTTAAATAATCGATTCTTGTCGGAGCACCTCCAAGAATCGATATATTTCCATAGGTTTAGATGGAGAAAAACAATGTTGTCAATTTGCTGGATCCGCCAATGTCCATGCTTGAGCTACAACATTGAAGAAATGGTGACAAAGAGCGTCATTACTTTTTCTGCAGTGACACAGAGTTTTACTGCAGAAATAGGCAAGTTTGTCAGATTTTCATATGTTGTTGTAGAGGGGGCCATTTGATAAAACAACAATAATTGCAGGGTCGTAAATTAGACGGACGGATACTTGTAATTTAAAATTCGAACCCAAAATTTCTTACCACAGGCTTAAGTTCTTGAATTTGTTATCATAGATGCTGATACAGCGTGGAAACGCGATGGGATCTTCTCTACTTTTTCAAGTTACTGTGTTCGGAATAACAATGACGATCAGCTTTATTTTATGCCTGCTGACGTTTTACCGTGTGCCTAGAATTATTGCCACGCTGCGGACATTGGAAGAATTTGCCATCGCTCAAATTTTGTACGGTAAAAAATAGAGACGGCTAAATCATAAAATTATTTGGAAATAAAACTACAGTCATCCATTGTGCTAGTGCAAACTATGATTTTCTTTCTTCTGAACCACGATTTTACGATTGAAAATTTCAGAAATCGAGTTTTCCACGAAAGTCGACGGTGTGAGTCGGCAATCACATAACTCGGTTTGCGACGTCGCAGACTTTTAACGGAGGAAATATGACAAAATAACCTAATCTGCAAAAAAACATGTGTTTAAATGGGGAATGATGATGCCACAAGGCGGCACATTTCCTCACTTTTAAATCTCTTTTTCTCCAATGTCCCGTGTCAGAAAAAAAATCTGAAAAATACTGCAAACTCAGCTCATTAAGCACTCTCAGATGAAGCAATAAAATTTTTGTGAACAAATTCTCCATTGATCTCATTGTCGTATGCCTTCTATGAATCAAACGCTTGAATCGTCAAATCATGAGTTTTGTCACCCCTTCGACGTAAGGGCAATGGCGATTTTGGAAAGATCGTAACTCTGCTTTTCCTCCATTTAAGTGTATGCAAAACAATCGATTCTTGGTGAGGCAGCTTACCTCGCCTAATATCGATACTTTAAATGGATTTAAATGGAGGGAAAACTGTGTTGCCAACTTGCAACATCGTCACTGCGTAAGGGCTAACCCAAAGACATAAAGACGGAGCACTAAAAGCAAAAAATGAAGCTTCTAGAGCTTCTTTTCAATCACCTCTACTATTGGCTAGAGGATTGGCGGCGAAATCGGGACAAGTTTGAATTCAAATGTAGGGCGGGAACTAATAAATAAAATTGCGGAAACAAAGTATTTTAGGTTGATTTTTGCCCAAATTCAGGTACACACTCATATTTTATTAACTTTAGGTTAGTTTCGGTCCGTCGTCGACCGACTGATTTCATTTGGGAGTAACGTAGATCTAGAACTGTAACGGCCTGTTTGAACCTGCAGAACCACCATAAGCAGAAGAAAAACTAACTTTATCTGAGATTACTGCCTGTTACCGAGCAAAAGTAGGTGTAATATATTAGGACGCAGACCGAACTTTCTTAATATAATCGTTTAATGCATTTAAAACACGTTTCGAAGAAGAAATAAGGAAAAATCAAGAGGACAAGTTCAAATCAAATTTCCGTTTGCCGCCATGGATTCCCGCGCTCATTTACACACTCACACAAACGCGCAGCGCCGAACCTAGCTTCACTTTTTCCCCGTGCTTTTAGATACGAGCACTCCGTCTTTATGTCTTTGGGCTAACCACACTTCGTGATGAGCCATGATGTCCGTACAAGTTTACGATTCCTGGGGCTTACAAAAATGTATATAAGTTCTAACCAACAAAAGAGCAACATCAAGCGATTCGTTCGACTGATCTACTCTCACAAGATCTCATTGATACAATGGAGTTGTTGCATGTGTGAGGAATTTGCGATTTGACTGTTGGTTCTTAAGTAAAAGTTCGCGAGAAACACGATGGTGCCACTGGTTTTCTCTGAAATCAACTCCCAAACTCAAAAAAAGCTCTCAAGTTGAGGCCAAAATGGAGGGGATATCCCACCCTACCCTAAGAGTCCACCTCTACATCAAGACAAACTCTCCATGCAAAGATTGGGAGCAAATACATTAGCAGGGTTGCCCTGTTTTCAGTTTTGGAGTCCCCAAATAAAGTGGCAGCCCTGTCAATGTATTTGCTCCCTATCTTTGCATGGAGAGTTTGTCTTGATGTGGAGGTGGACTCTTAGGGTAGGGTGGGATATCCCCTCCATTTTGGGCTCAACTTGAGAGCTTTTTTTGAGCTTGGGAGTTGATTTCAGAGAAAACCAGCGGCACCATCGTGTTTCTCGCGAACTTTTACATAGGAATCAATGGTCAAACCGCAAATCCCTCACACATGCAACATCTCCATTCTTTTAGTTTAAAATTGGACCGACGGATGTAAACTCTGGTTTTTAGAAGAGAAGGACTTGAAGAAGCTGAGAAGGAATGAAGCCTACAGCGGGGTCATCTTGGGAACGATTTTGCTGCTCCTGACTATAATAAAAGCTCTGGCTCCCAGTTACATGCTCTGTAAAAGTTTTACCATCGGAGGTCTTCCTGCTCTCTTGTCATTTACAATCCTCGTAAGAAACGAAGTTAATATATGTATAGTTAATTTTAAATTAGCCGATTTTTTAAATCGCAGCTATAAAAGGAACGCGTGCTGAGCCATCGCTAGAATCACCACGCCTTATTTACGAAAGCCTGAATCAGAATGAAAAAACTTTACGGAGACACAAGCATTTTTCCTGCCAGCGCCTAGATGAAGCTATTTGCACTCAATGACCATCCACGTTGCATACTTTAAAGACAGTAGGCGCTCTTTCTTTCCTTTCACCGTACGCAACAGCAGCACAACGTACCTGTGCAATTTCACAGTTACCAAGCGATAAATATATTTCATAATCAGCAAAGAGGCAACCCTGAAAATTCTTAGTTACAGTTAGTTGGACCAAAACAATAAAACTGACTCTTTCAATCGACTGATGAGAATAACTTACGGTGCAAAAGCGCACTGTGCTGCCTATGTATTGGATGAAAAGAAAAGCAGATGCGACCTCTTTTTCGAATATGCACCATTGATAGCTAACGCGTACGGATGATTGCATTTAATCGTTGGCAGGGTATTCTTGTAAAACTATGTAAACTTTTAGGTTCTGTTGATCTTATTTATATTAAAATAAGTAATACAACTTTTGATTAAATCACTTTATGTAAAAACTAAATATTTAAAACATTGTTTCTTGTAAAATCTAAAAATCTAATCACTTTAACTCTTAAATGTTGATAATATTAAAATTCTTGTATGTAAATAAATTCCGAGATCTTAAATTTCTTTTTTATTTTCAATTAACGCTGATACAGAGGGTAAAAGATTTTTGAAAAAAACTTTTTATTCCTTTTTTTTTTTGTAAAAGATCCGATTGATGTCAATGCGCAGCCGCAAACTTTTCACCATCCTAAAGCAGTCTCGATGCTTGAATTTTGAAGTAATAGTTATGTATACTCCCCGTCCGAAAATAATTCTAGGAGGTGGCACAAATTTCACAATTCAGTTTGGATATTCAACTTTGGCTACTGTTCAACTACATCGGGAACAGGTGCAAGTTGCTGAACCACGCGCTGGGCGAAATCTCCGAGCAAATCAGGCAGAGCAAAGAACGACCCCCCAAGGAGGACCCCTACGCTATCGCTATCCTACGCACGGGCAAGAAACAAGCCATTTATTTCGATGTTGAGTGCGACTCGAGCTTCACAATTTGTAAAAAAAGTGAGTTCCACTAAAAGATTTTATTTTCGGTGAATTGTGCTATAATGACGTATTCATTGTGACAATTTTCAAAGATGATTGGACCGCGTTTAGGAGAAGGAACCAAGCCACATCAGCTATTGCCAAATTCAACCGGGCAATTTAATTATTTACATGCGAATGTTTGTGCGGATTTTTTTAGAAATTTTAAAGAATTTGCCTCGTACTATGCAAATAATTCACTGAAATTTGCACAAAACTCCGCAGAACAGTTTTCATGCAAAAAATTAAGTTGCCCAATTCAATGAATATCACGATTTCTAAACAATTAGGATTTTAAACATGCTTAGAGCTTTTGTATTGTATGTTAGTGTCGCATGTACAGTACAATTACTCGGCCGTTTTCATTTAAGGTTTTTTATTCCAACTAAACTGTTCAGTTATTGTTACTGCTCTTGTTCAGATATATCCTTTTTCTCCGATTAAATACCCCCAGCATTGAATTTTTTCATTTTCTTATTTTAAAGAAAGGACATTGCTATATTGAGTGTGCAAAACTCCATGATATAACCCGTAGAAGTACGTTGACTTCGCGAGTCTGAATAGTTGCGCTGAACTCAGTGCGGTCAGCACAGAATGCATATTAGCGCCTACGAGATCGCAGGAATACTTCACGCGTTGCGCCAAACACAATGCGGTGCGGTTGGCGAGAGACGCAGATTATAGCGCCTACAAGACCGCACGAATACTTCACGCGTTGCGCCAAACACAATGCGGTGCGGTTGGCGATCGAGAGACGCAGATTAGCGCCTACAAGACCGCACGAATACTTCACGCATTGCGGGTACACCAAGGTGCGCGCTTCAATTGTTGAAATCGATGTCGACAAAATTGCGATGCACTCTCCGATCAGATCGTAACTTATCGCGATCACTGCTTCTTGTAAAGGGGGAAATGATTAACTATCTAAAGGGTCTTCAGTGGGTTTAGCCCTTAGTCAGTCTATTACTTATTGTCGTTGTCCACTGCGCCACTTGTCACTTTGTCTTTTGCGCCAACAGGATCGCTTCATTCTCTCTATGTCTTATTCTGTGTTTTTTGCAATGTCTATCAATTTTAATTATATGCCCGCTGTCAACATCACCATCCAAATAATCGCAAAACCAACGACCTCGTGAATAATCTCGGCCGAATTGAAATTTTTTTTTTTTTTTTGGTTAAATTGAACCCCAATCTTGATTGGAATTTATTTTTAAAAATAACTGTCTGTCATTTACTGCCAGGTTATTATTTAAATTAACCCTCAATTTTTCATCGGCAAACTAAAAAAAAAAAATCATTTTTGTTTATTTCTTTAAATTTGCGTAATTACTTAAACTTTTTCACAGCAACTTTTATACTATCATTTTGATCATTTTATCGGTATTATTTTATTGATTTGTATGATTTTGTCATATCAATTAACAGAGACGCGGCGGTACTACCCTGTCGTGAGTGTGACGATACGGCATCTGAACTACGTGCACCGAGTTCTCTCGAATGAGCTGCAGGAGATTTTCGATCTGTATCAACTCCCGATTTTGCTCTTGGTCATATCGGCTGCGCAGAACATAGCTTCGGCACTTTTCACGCTTTTCGTCCTGACTGGCTGGGATGTGGCCATGCACGAGGTGACCTGCGTCGCAGCCAACGCCATTCGCCTTGCCATCGTCTTCATCCCGCTTTCTCTTACCTCTCAAAAAGTAAGAGCCTTTAGTTTCAGGATCCAATTTCTAACAACCCATGCCATATTGCATTGAAAAACAAGGATGAAAAAACGGGAAACAAGGCTAAAAATACACAATTTGTCGTCTCCCGGACGAAGGAACGTAACTCCACTCCAAGGTTGCCAGATTGACTCAAACAATTCATTTATTTGACTAAAATGTACGTGTACGATTTTTATCCGAAAGTTATCTGATTTTTGCATGAAATGTGGAGAAAAATCAGTAGAATTATCAGTTGAAAATGCCCGAGATTCTCCTCGTTAATGTGCAATAAACGACGGGAAATTTGGCAACATTGAAATGAAGTTACGTTCTTTCGCGAGGGAAACGGCGAATTTATGAACCCGAGACGTTTCGACTCAAAACTGAGTCATTTTCAGTCGGAAACAATAAAATTTAAAAGAAAAAACTTATTAAAATTTAAAAGAAAGGATCCCGGCCGCCACCATGCAGGGCTCAGGTTTTTATCGTTTTTTCTTTTAAATTTTATTGTTTCCGACTGAAAATGACTCAGTTTTGAGTCGGAACGTCTCGGGTTAATAAATTGTGTATTTTTAGCCTTGTTTCCCGTTTTTTCGTCCTTTTTTTCCACTGTTATCATTGTCTTGGGCTGCTCTTAAAAAAAATTGTATCTATCGCATTGAAGAGATGGGCTGCGTCATGACCTATCGTGCCGACGCACAGTGGATCGAGTTAATAGGGGAGGTTGGTCAAAATTTGGAAACTTAAAACCCTTTTAACTCCGTTTATACACAACTTTGAGGTTCTAAAAGTGATAACATTGGTTTCCTCGTGAAATTGTCTACTAGAGGCATCCCTTGAACTTTAAAAAGTGTAGAAATAAACACTAAAATTCGCAGTTTTCGTCAAAAATTTCATGTCCGACCTTTTTATTTGACTCGGTCCAGTGTGCGGCACCGGCGCTATTCTGCGCTGCACTTGAACTACAGTAATAATTGTGGCATGTTAGAACACAGTGAAAAAGTTACGAGTACCACATGCATGTGGTGTGGCATTTGATGCCTCAAAAAGCCTGAAAAAAATGATACTCTTTAAACGTTAGGCCATTCCCAAAAGTTATTTTTCCATAGAATATTTTTAAAGCATGCATTTGTAAGTTGGCGGATTGATTTTTATGTGCTTTTTCTCAGTTGTTTTTCTTCAAAAGTTATACGCTCGCGCAATTATAGAATATTGTCGTTGCCTCCACTTGTCTGATGGCTATCAGTTCTTTTTTTCTGCAGGTTGATGCTGCCCTGAAATATCTGAGTTTAATAAATAATGCGTGTCTGACTGCGGATTGTTCCATCGAGGTACAAAATAGCTTTTCTTTTAAGTTGCAAGTGTACAATAAGTGTATTGTTATAAAGAATGAGAATAGAAATGTGCATACTAACAAATCTAGGCTCTCATTCATTTGATTTACAATCCATAAACTTAACGAGCCAACGGATGGTGTAATTTATTTTATGAAGTCTTGTGTCGTATAATTTGTAGTAATATTTGTCTCGAAAGTTTACTGAACATTTAGTTTCCGATTTCATACGTGTTCTTATCTCAAATATGTTACTGGTCCGACAATATTGCACGTATTTTTTCTTTTTTTTTTCTTCAAAACTCTCAATAAAAACATGAAGTCTGGTTTGCATAGCTCTATCTAGATAAAAAAAAAAGACTTCTACAAACACATCTTGAGTCTTGAGCTCTCGAGTAAAATAATTTCAGCTGAAACGTTTTACTTCATTACAAATACATGTCTATTATAACAAACATAAACTTGATTCCAGGTCCAGCTTTTTTCGCGTCGCGTGTTGAAGGCTCCGCTTAAATTTGTTACTTGCCGCCTCTTCAAATGCAGCCTCTCTTTCCTCGGGCGGGTAAGTGTATTCATGATCAAAAAACAAAAAAATAACAAATAAAAAATAGAAGAAAAGCAGGAAAGCTCTAAAACGAGCGTATTAGAGGAGCAGTCAGCCGTTTTCTGTGTAGGCGCGTTTTTAAGTTACCCGAAGAGGATGAGCAAACGTTGAGTGAAAGAACTCGCCTCACCAAAATTTCAACCATCAATTATTTTGAGAGAAGTACACTACCGTTAGAAAAATACATTATAGGATAACGATTATCGTCCACCGCTCTTTGATATGTGTAGAAGCATGAAATAAAGGTATAGCAAATAAATCTATTAGAGGTCTCTATCAGCCATTTTGCTGTTGAGGCGGTGCGCCATGTGAACGCATTAAATTTACTAGAATAATACTAGAATAATACTAGAATTCTACAGGCAGGTCGAGATCAAAAAACCCTCCCTATCGGCGGAGTGCTAAAAAAGAAAGAAAAAAAACTGTAGTCACTGGAATGTAACGTGATTATTTTCATGTTATATGACAGCCTTGGTCGCAAAAAACGTCGTTGTTGTACGAAATGGCACAAGCTTTGCTCATGCTTACAAACATGAATACCTGTGGTTGTGACCTAGAGAGTTTCAATTTTCAAAAAAACCTTTTGCATTTACAATCGATGTGAGCCCATCATAAGAGACGATTTTTGTTGTTTTACGTTTCAGATGTCACTAGGGATAGTGAGCTACCTCCTCATCATGTTACAATACAATAAAACCGTGACATGATTTTACGGTTTTGTGGGAACCTCGCTGACGCGCATTGCAAGAGTTTTGATCTTGAAACGAGAATATTTTGAACGTATCGGTTCTGAGAGGAGTAGGCACCAAAGTCACCTCAACTCCAAACCATGTCATAACTTTTCAATTATAGCTACAGCTAATTTTTACAGAAAGTTTCCTTTGGATGTATCAAATTTCTTGATGTCCTCCTCGAACAGCCTGAACACCTGATAATCTTTGCATGCTGATTTGATTTACATTTTGGAGGATTTCATCAGCACCATAATTACCTTATCCGATGTACAGGGGCGTAGCTAGGAAATTTCTCTGGGGGGGGGGGCATGGGACCACCTCTCGTGGTGAAGAGAGCGGGGGGGGGTGAGGAATGGAGGATCCCGTTTTTCTGGGGGGGCCACGAGATTTCTGGAGGGGCCAGGCCCCCCCCCAGGACCCCCCTAGCTACGCCCATGCCGATGTAGCCACGGAAGGTACATCTATGGGTTCTTTTACGACGCCGAACACCATAATGTGAAAGGTCTTAACAGCCGCTAACGGCCCCTACCAGGTTTTCCTCGCTTCATATGAGGGGCTTGGAGGAAAGGCGCATAAATTCAGTTTTTGCTATTTCGAGAAATACGTGATCGAAGTTTCGAAATTACATGGATCCTTATGGCGGGAGGAAAGTTCAAACTAACTTTTTGATGCTTAAAAATTGGAATTTGGGATCGAATTTTTCACAGAATATTCATTAAGACTAGTTTGACTTGAATTCATTGATATTTCGATCTTTTAAAGTACTGCACTTATGCACCTTGTCCTTTAAGTCCCTCATATATTTTTTGATGTAAGTCAGCATCAACACGTATTGTCACAGTTACAATACTTGACACGGAATGATGGAGTATAAACATCAGAATGCTGCTACATTTTCATGATGAAAATCGTATTCTTGAGGAAAGTTGTGAATATCTTTTTCTTTAAATCGTCCTGTAAACCATAAAAAAGTTTCGGTTTCGGGACATTCCGTCAACGATTTTTTGTCCGCGCACCTGTTTTGTTCGGTAGTTTACGTCCACGCGTAAAACAAGCAACAGTGACTTGGTCCAAACGTTATAATTTAATGCGTATATAAAATTATATTGACAATATCGAAAAGAGAAAATTGAGAGAGGAAAAGAGGTTGTTACGGTGATTAATTTTTTTAATGAAATGTTATTTTCTTCTTTCGATTCATCTTTTCAAACTGTCATTGGTGAATATTTGATTTCATTTCTATCCTTAAATTTTTCGATATAGAATATGCCTATTTTTAGATGAAAATATTACTTCATTTTAAATACATTTACGTTTTTAAAACTTGGCAAATATTTGCAGAACCTTTTCCAAGCGATGGCATCGATATTCATCTCAATGAGCCTTGGTTGTGTTGAAAGGAACCATACAAAAATGAATAAAAGTGGGGGGAAAACCAAAAAGCACGGAATCTATGGGTTTAACCCGTTTGTGTATCGATCTTTTACAGTCAAGTTTTGAGCGTTTGGTTGCGAGTGCACCTTGTTGCAGCACAGTAAAAGCACGAAGTATAAAAGAAAAAAGTAAATTGCTTTGGAAATCATTAAATTTGACTCGGAGCCACCTTAATATTTATAAAACACAGATCATATTTTCATTTATTACATATTTTTTTCCATTAATTTAAAAGAGAATAATCCACGCAGAGTGTGCAAACATTTCAAAATTATGAGTTGAAAAATGCTGACTTCCTTAGTTTAAATATTAGAGCCGAACACAGAGTGGAAGGGCGTGCTGTGCTGGTGCTGCCAGCACGGAGCACGTCCCTCTGGCCCTGGCGCCTACAAACCTATTGGGACACTTCACGCATTGCGCAATGCTTGAAGTATCCCATTAGGTTTGTAGGCGCTAGTGCGCGCTGGCTGGCCACCCGCCCACGGCGCCTTAAGCAACTATTTCACAACAGAGGTGTTGCACAGTATCATAATAAATTGAAGGCGCTCCAACATATTAAGGTTAACATGACATAATATTTTAACATTCTTTATTGATTCATAGGAAAATCTTCTCGTCGGTAAATTTGAGCATAGTTCTGCTTGAATCATGTCGCTTTTTCCTCTAACGAAGTTCAAAAATCATGCTAAACGTTAATGAATAGAGATACTAGAACTTAGTAAGCTTTCCGACTAACGCTCTCTTTGTTGCTGTCACTCGATTTAGCCCTTTTCCGGTCCGCGGCAGTTTTTCACGGGCGCCGTGGCAGGTCCGCGTCTTTTTCCCGAATTTCGGCCGATTTTCGGTCACTCCTACGCTCCTCAGTTTTACCATCTATTTAAGCCTTATAAACTAATGTTTGATGGTTGTGGGGGCTCAGTATGACGAAATATATGTTTTTATCTACAACAAATTTTACTAACCCAATTTAAAGCAGTCGAATATACCCGACATCGGGCCTGCGCAGAAGCTCAAACTTTTGGGCGACTATATCCGACATCGGACCTAAACGCGTTATTTTTCACGGCGAATATATCCGACATTTGACCGTTAATCTGCGAGGGCACTTTGTTCTTTTGAAAGATGTCAATCATGATACGTTGGGGTGCCTTCAACCTCGTATGATACTGTGCAACACTGCAACACCTCCATAGCAAAATAGTAGCTCGAAGAGCCTTTCGCTGAGGCAAATCAAAAGGAAGGTTTATCCGGTTCAGGTATAACAGAACGGGATATTCTTGAAAGATCATCAAGTTCTGTTGCACCAAAGAGGTGTAAAGAGTTTCAGTGAATTTTCCCTCATGGAATTGACGCTTTCCAATTTTTACGAAAAATATCAAATATGTATTTTTCTCCGTTTGACCAAACAAACAAAAAACAAGCACACCCTCATTCTTCCAAGACGTATACATTGTCATCCAAAAACGTCGTGAGCAATTGTCGTTTGTATTTACATGTGGACCAATTCATTTTGGTCTCATTTGGTAAGTGGACCAAAACTCCCATGCCGAAAAAATGCGTGGGCGTAAACTAGTAGTAAAAAGAGGTGCGCGAACAAAAAAGTCGTTGACGATGAAATGTCCTTTAACCAAAATTTCCATTGAAAATTGTCTGGAAAATATAGGGAAAATAAATAAATTTGCAAGACTTGTATGAATAGTAATTTATTGGAGACATTTTTGCAAATTTAAGTCGTTCGCACTACGTTTTTTTCTGGACACGGCAGTCTTTGACCGAGACGCTGAACACTTCAGTTACTCTGATTGAGGCTCTGAGTAAAGTGAGGTGTACTTTCCAACTTCGGCATTCCGAGAAAAATCAATAATTGTTTCATCATTGCGTTATTTTGAAGAAAAACAAATCGAGGAGTCATGAAGGGTGTATAATCAAATAAAACCCGCGCTCTCACCCGACAAAGCAATCTACACGATTATATTTTATGAAACGTCCTCTCCTTGCAACATCATAGCTCCTACCCTTTACAAAGGCCGATTAATTTTGGAATATTTGACCCTCGCGGTCGCGAAACCTTTCTCATTCAGTAGTTTCCAAAATGTTCTCACAATTTACTTCTCTTCTCTCACAATTTTACACTAAAATAGCATTATAACACGTGTTAAAGCCATTTATTTTCAATTACGTAATTTTCCAGGTTGTATCAAGGGAGTATTACCAAATTTCACAATTTGAAAGTCTGACCAAATATTTTCCCAAAATTGACCTTTCCCACATTTTAAAGCTGAAAAAGTAAACCGATAGTTATTACATAGTATTTTCAAAAGTTTTTCTTCAATAATATATTCTACAAATACTAGATAAACCAGAATTTTCGGGGGAAAATTACGAAGAGTGCTCCCGGAACTGTATTGGAAAATGGCACATGATTTTTCGATCAAATAAAGATTCAACTTCATGGAATAGGAACCGAACTACAATTATACTATAACCACTTGTAATGCTACCAACGAGCATAAATCTATTTATGTTACATGTCTGTGGCGGTTTTAATAGTGACTATAGGCACAAGTATAATTCTTTGGCTAAACGACATCTTCTAGGAGGAGCAAACTCCTGTCCACTGCATTCTTCAATATAAGAATCTGCGTGGTCTTGCTCTATGTCGAATTATTAAAAGATAGATTTATGATTTTTATGATGCTAATTTAACCGATCATAAAAAATTTCCCGAATTCCAAGTTGCATTTAAAGGGACAAAATACCAAGACCGTTTTAAAAAAATCATGACGATCGAAGATAATATTTTTAAGGAATTTCAAACAACGTACAATATATGCCGATTCCTTGGGACTATGCCTATCAAAACGCAATTACACCCGGTAAGTTTAAAGCGTTTGATATCATTATCAAGATTTTCCCATAAGTAATGGAACTGTCCGAGTGACAGTTTAGAAATGTACGCAGCTCCCATCATAAATCATAAATTGACCGTTTTGATGCACAAGAGGTATCTCTATACATTGAAAATATATACCTTTGGTTTGTTTTTTTGTTTTTTTTTTGTATAAATGTATTAATTGAAAGCTCAGTACGTGAACACGTCAAAAAACATTTCTGAGGTCAAAAGAAAAAAAGTCTGACGATGAATAATCATAAGAGAACTTACACACCCTAACAATGTTTTGAACATGTGTTGTGAAGCTAAAAATTGATTACTTATTTCCAATCGTGAAAAAAAAATTATTATCAGTATTGCATAAAACCTTGTCTGATTTGCCTCCTTGCTTTTAACAGTATTCTCTGAAAATTACGTGGAAAAATTTCGAGAAGTATTCTCTAGAAAAAATTAAAATTGAGAGGAAAATTTTAAACATTCCATGCGACATCCGTGGATCAGTAATTTCATCGACAATTTGTACTGATTTAAAAGTAGCTTTATTCCAAATAAAGGGGACCTGAACCCAACATATTCATGTACTGGGCCTTTCAAGCATAATATATTACAATTTGAAACAATTTACCAAGCTTTTATTTTTTTGAAAATTTCGGCGCAAATATATCAGGTTAGAGTGGGAAGGGAGGGAGTGGGGTGGGGGTATTGGTCCTTTCACAAGAATTGCAGCGGTTTTGGGATGAAGAGTTTAAAGACTGATGTTGGCAGACCAAACCTCCAAAGTGGGAAAACCCAGAAATTCATTTTCACTACTTTTTATGATATTCGTTACTTGATGAAAATCTTTCATGATCCTGGACTGATAGAGGCTGTGCATGTTATCTGGATGAATAAAGAGCCGACAGGGCGATGACGAAGTATTATGTCTGAAACATTTCAGATATCGTTTTGGAGTAAATCGGGCATGCTAATGTCGATTACTCATGTGGCCATGATCTTAATCGTTCACCCAATCATAATGGAAAACACTCGAGAAAAAATTAACATCCAACTTTTTGGATCAATCAATAACACTCAGGTAGGGAAATGATGTACTCTCTCTTGATTAAAATTTTCGCCTTGAAGGTCCGTGCTACATATCAATATATGAAAAACGAGGATCAGCCTGCGACTGGTTGGACCTCATTTTGCAATAAGGAACCACTAATTCTGGCTCATCTTAGAAAAAACGTATGTGCCAATTGTTTCTTTATGCAGAAAGGTGCTTTCATGGAAGAGTCAGAGATAGTGGTTCCTTATTGTAAAATAAAATCCAGTTAATTTTTTTTTCTTTCTTTTTTTCTGCAGAACAATGTATGCTGGAGGTCGTTTTTTCAGTATTTTTAACAACTTCAATCAGTAATAACTTCACCGTAATATCACCGTCTCCACACCCTAATTCGTATGTTTTTGTAACTTTTTGTGCGGAAGTACGAAAAAAACCCATTATACCTTTCCAAAATAGTTCATGAGGAAGAAAAACAGAGAATAAGTTGTTGAGGGAGATGTAAAAAAATGTTGAATGTAAGCATGAGTGTAGATGCTAAATGCAGCTATATCGGAGAGTTCGCAGATTTCAAAGTTCAGGATGCCTTTAAAAGTGTCGGTAGTTTTTTTTAGGGGAAAGTTCAAAACATTTGTTTACATCAAGTTGTGTAGTTAGTTGCAGATCGGATTCAAGGTATAACATTGCCGCTGGAGATATTCATCGAAGTAGTATCTCTAGTTGTGTGTTTCGGCATGTTTATTTCGGAGTATGCGCAATCACAAAACGTCATAGATGTCATGAACAGATTTAGATTGTTCCACACAAAAGACGAAGGCATTATTTTTGGTAAGAATTGCGCTCGTATTTATTATGTATGTGATTGACAGTGAAAATCATCAGAATTGATAACAGAGAAGCAAATTGAACAAAAAAAAAAGCGCTCTCAGTTGATGTTGAATGCGACGAAAACTAATTTTAACTCCTGGATGCAACAATTCGGGCTCCGTGGATGTCCGAGTTGCATACACAAAGAGATGAAGGCGTTTTGACTCTCCGGGCACTCGCCGCTTCACCCGCGCCACTGCGTCTGGTATTTATGGAAAAAAATTGACTGAAGGAAGCTGCCCATTCAACTAGTGATATTTTAACCATTCCCATTCCATCTACAATGGCTCAGTTGCGCCGGTCACAGAATCGTGTTTTGATGCTTGATTCTTGTAGATCAGTTAAAAATATCAAAATCGCCCAAACTGCAATTTTCTACGTTCAATACGAACCGAGATATCACGCTTTGAAAAATTAGGTTTATGGCGTCATCCACCGCGGTAGTGACACCCTTGGTTTCTTCCACCTTGCTTTCACGAATCAGCGAAACACACATCTGCTCTGGTTACTAAAAGTGAAACTCGGACGAAAGCAAGGTGGAAGAAACCAAGGATGCATGTCACTGCCGCGGAGGATGACGCCATAAACCGAATTTTTTTAAGCACGATATCTCGGTTAATATTGAACGTAGGACATTGATGTTTAGACGGATCTTATTATTTTTTGATCCACAATAATCAAGCATCAAAACATCATTCTGAGATCAGCGTAGGTAACTGGCCCATTAGTAGTGTATAAGTAATTAATTATAAGCCTATTCCCAACTTTATATGGACGTATTTCTGTGAACGGAACTACAGACGAGTGATAAAGATGGGATGTGCTCTAGAAAGCTGCTCAAGAAACATCCTTAAAATGGGCGTGATCCCCTTTGGCGAAATGGAAAAGCGGGATTTTACATTCTACCAAACGGATCCAAGCGCCAACTGTATGCGGTTCTCATAAGCCATGGACATGTGACAAGAGCATTGTGGACAGGGCTCATGAGTTGATGCATCGGATCGTCGCCGATGACGTCATCGGCGCTTTATGATTCCCATTAATTCTTAATCAACGAGCACATCCCTTCTTTCCCACCTGTCTCTGGTTCCGTTTGGCAGAAATACGTCCATATAATATTAAATCACCACAGTATTATTTTGACTTTTGATTGGCAGATGAAAATCATTGCCGGGCGTTAATAAAGAAAACCAAAGAAACTACTTGGATCCGCTTCGTCATCCTATGGATTTTGATACTCATTGGCGTGGTATCAAATATTCTCTGTTTCCATGGAGATAGGAGCCCCATCATTGTCCTGCAGTTTGCCTTGTCCGTAAGTTTAAAAAAAGATGTTTTCAATACTGACGTATCAAAGCTCTTGCATGAACTTTGAATCCAAGGAAATACCTCGGCACTCCAAAAAAAAATTGAGGTCAACCACAATCAACCCGAACCTACCAAAGGCCAAAGCTAAGTAGCTTTCATATTTTCGGTCACAGATTTCTTTTATTTATGATAGGTTTTGACTTGACTCAACCAGAAATTATACTTTCAATTTTTTTTTCCATTCTAATATTTATGATATTTTTGCGAGTGTTTATGAAAGCAGTGGCGTGGCGTGAAATGCGATATATCGATTGTTATGCCATTCAAACCTATGGAAAAGGATCGATAAACAGGGTGTTCGCTGCGAACACCTTAATTATCGATTCTTTACCATAGGTTTAAATGGCATAACAATCGATATATCGCAATTCACGCCACGCCACTGTATGAAAGAATGATTTCATGAGAGCTATGGATTAAATTTCTGTACTTTCTGGGCTCAAAATAATTTAAGATTATAATATTTGCTCGACTTATTTATTTATTATTGACCGTTTGAGCAAACAGAACACGAATGAAGTAGGTAGCCCTAAGAGAACCTTCGTTTACGTTTTTTTGAGTTCTTTCCTTTATTTAAACTTTACAGGCTTACATATTTGCTGGTGTCACTAGCTATGGAATGCAATTCAATACTTTCTGTCAAATGGTCATCAATAGATTTTCGGATATCAACAGTACATTGTGGGAGCTCACTCAAATCGACACGTGTGAGTAGATATTCTATGACCTTAACGATATGACTAAACATAACATATCCAAACTTTCTAGGGATTGAATGAATTTTTACTATAGTTCGTCTATCATTTCCCTCTTAGTCCACAAAACCACCCGTTTCAACCTACATATAATGAGATAGCTCCATTTTCCCTTGGTCTCTAGGTCTGTCACTTTGTACATCAATCTCAAAACTCAGCCCACTCTTTTGGACTAATTAATTGAAATATGGCCTATTGAAATATAGCCCACTATATATCGACATGCGAAGTAACATCGATGAGTTTGTGTTTGTCATCTATTGGAATAGTTGATATTTCTCCTCATGCGTTTATTTCTCTGAGGTAAATACATTATTTGAAGTTTATACAGCCTCCTGTTTCGGCCTAAAGGATCTCTGCACTTTGTTTTTGTCTTTTTTGTCTATGGCTTCGTCTATAAATTTCAATGATTAGTATACGCAGTACGATGAATATAGCACGTAATGCTGTCTTGCCTAACATCAAACGAAAAGGCCCTCATTATAGAGTAGAAGTAAAATTTGTCGCTTTCAATCGTCCTAACAATTTCTGAGAGTCTTTTTGGATGATCATTGACAATCTCACGCAGGCCGGAGGATTTGTTCGATAAGATATCCGCTTGAACGCTACCGGGTCCCCAAAAAGAATTTTTCAACGGAAAAATCGCGATATTTTTTAAATTAGTTTGCCATTTTTTACAATTTTTTGGCGATAACATCCCTAGGATCAACGTGTAAGCTATTATCCTAAACTTTGTCGCAATTTCATCTCTATGAAATCGCGTTCGGTGAAATCGAAATATATCTCAACTTACGACGATTTCTTGTTCGATAATATTGCGAGAAATCGCCGTCGATAAAATCGAGATTCTATTGCAAATTTGTGCGATGAACTCAAAATTTTTTCCCGGATAATATTGCATAAATCGACGCACACTGGACCGAATCAAAAAGAGGTGTCGGACAAAATCTGGAAACTTTAAAAGCTGATGTTTTCAAAAATATGAGACAAAAAAAAAATAAACAAAAAACTTAAGAGTGGCTCCATTGGTTTTTCGTGAAATTTCCCTCCAGAAATACCCTATGAAATTGAATTTGTGACGAGATAAACATCAAAATCTGAAATTTTAGCCAAAAATTTCATGTCCGACCTCTTTTAACAGCTCGTTCCACTGTGTGACGTCGATAGAATCGCGATACATTCTCCGATCAAATCGCAACTTATCGCGACCACCAGTGGCGTGGCGTGCTTTTCGATCTATCGATATTTCCCCATTTGAAGCTGTGGCAAATAATCGATTATTTAGGTGTTCGCTTCGAACACCCTGTTTATCGATACTTTTCCATAGGTTTAAATGACAGATCAATCGATGTATCGCAAAGCAAGCCACGCCACTGGCGACCACTAGAGTACCTATATTGAGAGAGTATGGCCACTGAGGTTACCACCTCTGATTGGCTCAGCCATCTTAGGCTGAATGGAGCCCTTAGGACCCAAAAATGGCGGACGCCATAAATTAATGTAATGCAAAATGACTCAAAATGTAGTTTTCTTTGCTTATCGTAATGAGAAATTTACTCAAATGCACTATTGCGACATCTTTACATATTTTTAAGGCTAATCGTGTGCAATTTTTGAGAAAAATTATCTTAGATGTAGTAAGTTTGGCAGCAAGTGCGGTTGGCGATAACCGTCAAAAGTTGGCAATGACCCCCCTCCCATCCACAAAAACCAAAACAAAGCACCGCCATTTTTGGGTCCGAAGCCTCTCCATGGGGCCCGGTGGCCATACTCTCTCAATTTAGGTACTCTAGCGACCACTGTTTCCTCGAAACTTCGTTTCTGCACGTTGCTGTGATTGCAGGCCCGTTTCCACGCGAGAAACTGCGGACGTTGGATGACGTTGGCCGATGCCACAGCGCCCTGGGCGATATCGTCGAGGAGATCAACTGGACGTACGGTCCCAAGACGATGGGTCTTTTCATCGTGTGTCTACTCAGCATAATGCCGCACTTGTTCCAAGTGGGAATCGGCTTCATCCTCTCTACTCTCCAATTCGTCGCCTTCACCCACTTCTTCTGGCCGTTTCTCTTCATCTACTGCATCGCTTTGCTCACCATTCCTGCCGCATCCGTCTCCAAAGAAGTAAGTTAGAGTCCCTTTATACCCAGAGTTAAGACAACTCACTTTTGGTTGGGCTGGAAGTGGCCTAAAAAAAAATCCAATTCTGATTGGTTCTCGCTCATGGAGCCCGAAACGAGTGCACCAAGATGGCGGTACCTCGAATGTGAACAAGAATAATGAAAATATTACCTAATTGTGGTTTATCAAGAGTAAGTTGTTATTTCCATCGGTCCAAAGTGAAAATAGATTCAGAATTTATTCACAAACCAATCTCATTCTCTTTTTAATTGATCAATTTGTTGATGTTGTTGTTTTTGTGTGACAGAAATCGCAGGATTCCTGATCCTTATCCCTCAATATCGTTCGTTAGGTTGCACTAGTTTCGGCCTCCATGGCCAGCCAAGGCCGGCTGCCAGTCAGCTGATAATCAAGTTGTCTTAACTCTGGGTATAAAGGGACTCTAAAGTAAGTCTCCGTTTCTAAAAAAGACTGACCTAAAGACTACGTCGTTCGATATAATATTAAAATCTTGGTTCAAACCATGTCATTCGATATAATATCGCAATCTTGGTTCAAACCAAAAAAAAAACTAACATAATCTCATGCACGAATTCGTCATGAGTCAATTGTGTCAATTGATTACAATGTAGTTACTGACCGGTCCTAAATCAATTGAAGACTCATTAAATACGGAAGCTGTCGATTGTATGAAACACTTGGACGCATTTTACTACCATGGCGCAAAGGGCGCAAATCAGAAACGAGGTTCCGTGTTTGTTTACATTTGAGCCAAGGGTTCGATATTATATCGAATGACGTAGCCACCAAATCAGTCTATTGCTGCTCACAGGTTTAAGGTAATGTCCAGGTGAGTCTAATGTTAAATCGAATCAAACCTTTAAGGTGGAAAATAAAGCAATGAAGAAACTGTGTCACAACTTGAATGGGTTAGTCGTCATTTGAGAGGCTTGGAGGACCGCCATTAATCGCATTTAAATCGATGGAACGGTTCTCATAGGAAAATTTTGGTTACAATGGTTTTGGGAGACCCATGATAGAACGGTTTCTCCTCAGATATCCTTTCATCACTAATTTAGTTTGAATTTTTATCGTATGCACAGGCGAAGAAAACTACCATCATCCTGTCAGAAATGTTGATGAAATGCACTCACGGAGCTACGGAGAAAGAGGTTAGATAAGTTCCGCTTTGTTTTCTGTTTTCAGTATCTGATGTCAATAATAATTTTTATCTAATTGAACATGGTAGCATGGACATACCCGTGGAAAACGAATAGTTGCATTAAGGCGCCACAACCAACTCATCGTCAAAGTAGTATTCGAAGGTCGAGATAATACCCGAATTATTGACTCCAGACACGTTGGCCTCGTGTCACAAATCGGCAATACTTTCCCTATGTAGGTCTCTGTTATTTGAATGCTACATCTGACAAGTCCCGTGCATCTGCGAAAAATTGAAAAAAGCGGGAGCGCCTTCCATTTTTGAATATGCAACACGTACATCCGTGGGACACGAATAGTTGCATCAAGGCGCCACAATCAATTCGACCTATTCTTTGTAAAGTTGGAGTGCCGCCAATTTTTGAACATGAAACACGCACATCAGTGATACTTACATTAACTGCAAAATTGAAAAAAACTCCTACATTTTTTATAACGCTTTTGGGAGAAATTAAAAAATTTCACAGCCTGCCAATTGTTTTGTTACTTTTAACTTCCGTTAAAAGTCTCGCAAAATATTTGTCAAAAATCCGTGAATTTGGGACTTTTGTCGGTTAGGGTATGGATTGCATTTAAAATTGATTACCTGCACAGTTGGCGTGATTTTCAGATTTTTGACCGGGCAGTTCGGGAACTGGCAGCCCGGTTCGCCGACTGGGCAAGAACATTAGCCAGTGAGTGGACTTTGCGGACTGGGCAAAGGAAGTGGTTTGTCTCGGGGCTGGGGGATTTTGCGAACGTGTAGCAACTGTAGCAGTAATGTAGCATATCTATTCCCTGATTCAATTTTTTCATATATGACAGAAATTTCTCGTCTTCAGGAAAAAAGAAGAAATAAACAAACAACAATGATTTTTACTGATTTAATTCCATTGAGCTAATACTGGGTTTTCAAGGATGGATACGAAGGCGAGTCGTTAATGTGGTGCCATGCTTAAGGTTGGGCGAAAAGTAAATTCTGGTTTCAATTTATATATTTATTTATTCATATATTTATCATTTTATTCTTTTATTCATCTATTTATTTATTTACTTATTTATTTTTTTATTTTTTTATGATCCGTCTACCGTTATTTTTAGATCGTGGTTTGTATGGAGCGACTGAACAGCCGGCCTATTCAGCTCTCTCTCATGGGACTTACAACTCTTAACAACAATCTCTTTGGATCAGTATGTATGAGTAACCCCTTCTCAAAAATCTGAACGTAAAAATTTAACTTGTCTATTCGATTCTCGACCATTAACGTTTTATATCTTTCTCTGATATTTGCAAAGGAAAGTCTCATAGAAGTATTTTGTAATAAGCTACATCTACCTCGTCTGTGAAATCACTTATCTGCAGGGGGACTAACACGGTACGTTTGTTGTTTCTAAAATGAACCAAAAATTCCGTAATTTGTAATGCAATCCAGTTTTTGGTTCCAAGCATCGCCGCTTGTAGAATCTTATAATATATTAAAAGTATTAACTGGAAAAGACTTGGTCCTCAGAGAAATTATGAGGGACTGCTCCTGCACATACAAACATTTATAATTGATTGATCTTCGAAACCTTCGATTACATTCAGAAGCGATATTTCTAATTTCCAACCGTCTTTCATACATCAACAAAGCCTAGTTTGCGGAAACCATTTTAACTGAACCAACGGAACCATTTTTAACAACATTTAAAGATTTTAGGAGCAATTATTAGAAGCTATTCTCGCCACCGAAAAATAGATATAATTTCAATTTTCAAGATCGAAGATGTCACTTAATGAGGAAAATCCTTGTTCTTGGGAGAGACTAAGTAGAATTATGGAAAGGCCGGCCCCTGACCGCTATTTTCTCCCATGCCTAGAACATCTGATCATCACTGAACGAATTGATACTGTAAATTCTTCTTTTACAGAGCATGGTTGCACTTATCGGATACTTCTTCCTGGTCATTCAGTCTTACATGACCGAGCTGGACAAAGTTCACAGCATTGGAAAGACGTGAATTTTAATATCATTACTAGCCGTTCTGGACGTGCTTGGCGCGGTATTGGATGACTCAATAAGGAGGCTAGATGATTTTGTGAAATGCTAAACTTTAAACTACGTGAAATGATTAATCAAGTATATCCCCGAGAACCAAAACCTTCCTGGTCGCTGGTCAGGGAATTTTTTAGGAGAGCAACCCTGCAAAACATTAACTATGACGTCAGCTTTATGCTCTGAACATAGGTCGGGTTGTCAAATCACTGGTGATTTTAGTTTACTGTGATTATGATTAGATAAATTATTTGTCAAAATACCGCGAATACTTGAATCTAGTCTGGAATCACCTCCGCTAATCTCCAATAACAACGAAATTATCACCATCACTATCATCAACCGTGCCGTGATCAGTATGATGTGATAAAGGACAACCAGCTATCAAAACCAAATATGTACAAAAGAATTGAAATAAATAAATGAAACTATCATTTTTTGTCCATGTAACAAACAAGTTTGGCAAGTTCAGGGAACATTGTGTTACACAATGTCTAAAAGGTAGTAGTACTGAATATATTGGTATGTGTAGTGTAGCCAAGTGCTAGAAAAAATGAATGTAACATTTTTTGAAAGAGAGAAAGAAACTTACATTTTATTAATAAAATTTGACCAAAGCTTCTCGAAGCAAGCGCTCCATCGTCAGGGTCACAAAAGTTCAAATCACAAAGGCTATAACTTTATTTTAGACAAGGTAACAGATCTCAGTGGTAAGAATTGATGACAAATTAACATATCTAAAACCTAACTTGAGGTCTTTGATCCGTTAATTGCTGCGCAGTCAGTAATTCCAGCACAATCGAGGTTATAATGAACACCCCGGTAAAAATTGGCGATAGAAGCTGCGTTTCAAAATACCATAGGAGTTTCTTATAGCCGACTGAAGAAGGCTATTGAAAATCTTATAGCTGGCTGTAGAAAGCGGAGCAAATCATATAGCCAGGCTATACGAAGCTATAAAAAAGTATACAGTCGGGCTATGGTTCCTATCGCCGGGCTTTACACTTTATCGCCATTGGCTATGAAAGGCTATACGAAATTGTGTAGAAATTCGTGTGCTTTGGAAATCATCAAGTTTGATACGGAACTACCTTAATACTTACAAAACACACATTATTTTTTCCTTTAAAACATTTTTTTTTATTCATCAATTAAAATGAGAATAATCCATACTTACAGAGTGTACAAACATTTCAAAATCAAAGTCAGCGAACATTGTCAAGCAATGTGTGGAGGTAGTAGCACTATATATATATATGGGTTTGTGTTGGTAGCTGAGAAGATTCGAAAAGATTCGGTACTTTATTAATAAAATGTAAGTGTTTTTTTGAAAACATTTTTTTTGCATTATTTCTAGCACTCGGCTACCAACACAAACCCATATTTCAAAATCATGAGTTGAAAAAAGCTGACTCCGCAAGATTAAATATTAGAGCATAACACAAAGCGGAGCGGCGACGCATTGGCGCCTACAAACCTAACAGGGATACTTCACGCATTGCGCAATGCGTGAAGTATCCCTGTTAGGTTTGTAGGCGCCAATGCGCGTTTCGCGCTCTCTGCCCGCCCGCCTCGCCGCAGCGTGCCACGGTGTCTGAAGCAACTATTTCACATCAGAGGCATTGCACAGTATCATAAGAAATTGAAGGCGCTCCACTATATTAAAAATGACAGGCATCCTTCAAAAATACAGAGCTTTTCTCGCAAAATAAATCAAGATAGGTACTACGGCACAAAAAGAGAGCGGTACTCCGAAAACTAACTAAATCCTAGTATCCGTATTTAGTAACGTTTAGCCTAAAATTTATCGTCTGTCTGTTGCTTAATAGCCATCGGCTATAAAAGGCTATAAGAAATTGTACAGCCTGCTACAGAAGCTATTGGAAATCTTACAGCCGGCTTTAGGTCTATGGTATTTTGGAACACAGATTCTACTGCCAATTTTTACCAGGGCATGCTGTGAATCAAATCACTATTGTCACTAATCACTGTGATACTGTGATTTTCCCCCAGGAAGTTATGCTGTGATAACCTCCTGAGTAATAAGGAGGTGTGATTGGAGTGGGTAAATCTGACGTCATCAATTGCCCCCCNCCCCCCCCATCAACCGTAATTAATCTCTATGACTTGAAGGATGCAGTCGCGGTCACTAATGCTACCTGAGGGTCACGATAGGCACACCTCTACAATCGGTGTAGAGTGAAAGTGAAGGGACCGTTCATTTGAATTCATAGGGGGGAGATCATGATCGGATTCCAGGCGCTATCAGTCGACTAATTATGCCCAGCGCTCCTACAAGTCCTCTTCAGCATTTATATGCCAGTTCCGAGGCGAGAGCGTGGCTGCCACGCGAAGGGTATACGCCTCATCGGTAGCAGCTAGTGTGTAATTCACCGGGTGGCGAGCGTAGGAACCCGTGGATCTCCCGTTGAGTTACTGAGGCACTAGTTACCCAACCGGATCGATACGTGACCGACACATTGCGAAAAGTCACTATATTAATGTCTGCAGTCTACAATACCTTAAATTATTCTTCAAAATAGACGGATAAAAGTTTAGAAGTAATTTTCCCAACTGACCAAACTTGAAAAAAGTGTAAATCCGTTATTAGGGGTCGCCGGAGGTTCCCTGAGGAAGCGGTGGGAAAGGTAAAATATGGAAGCGCACTCTGGCGGCGCAAGCGCGCACGGTCTGTACGGAGTTTTGAGAAAGCCAGTGAAGCTGACTGATAAAACCCCCGTCCAACGGAGATTGCATTGCATCGCGTCGAGTAAAATCACTGATGAAATTGTGCACCAGAAACTAGACTTTTTACGTCATGGACAATCTTTGATAATTTTTGAAGCCGATTTGGACACAGTTTTGTAAAGAATGTTAACACCAAAAAACATAGTACCGAGATTTCTTCCTGATCATCCCATCCCATCCCATTCCACCTATAATAGTTACCCGACCTATGTCGCGTCAATTCTTTCGTTCACGATGACTATATCGTTAGAGTTACGTTAGCCTATTCAAATTTTGTAATTTTGCCCATTTTGGTCTTATAAAGAACTGTATAGATTTTTGGTTAAATCGCACTTACCGTTTACTTATAAGCGGTAATTAACGTAAGTGACCTACTTACGCTGTTTTCCACTAATCTGCTATTATGAAAGTTCCACTCCTTGGTTTCCTTGGTAACCTTTGTTTGCTATCAGCTGATGTTTTATTTCAGTTTCTTTTTTTCTTTTTTTCATTTTTTTTCTTTTTCTTTTGTTGTTTTTTTTAATCGTTGCTAGGTTAGTTCTAACTTTTTGCGGCATTTATTCTTCCTTCCCCCCCCCCCCCCAGCTCATTTTTCTAGCTCCATCCCTCTCTCCCCTCGACTCATTTTTCTACCGATGTTATCATTTCTTTTTTTTTTTAATGGCATTTCTTGCTCCCCTACCACCATGTTTTCGGGGTTATAGATATTTTAGCAGCCTCTAGACCAGTGACTCCAGTCACGGGCATTTTGCTAGTCAAATTAAAACAACCTACGAAAACTACTTTAATGCGTGTGGTTAATTTGACTTTATACATTCTACCGCAAAATAACGACGCGCCATCTTTTTACTCACGATCAGTACAATTTGCAGGGACTACTATAAGCATATTTATTAATTTAAAAATGATAAAGTGATACTTGCTTTTAATCTTACTGCATATTGGTGATTTAGCATTAAGACTGATACGGTAAAAAAAAATATGCAAGGATGATACTTATCCAAGGACTTATTTTTTTTACTTTTTTTTTTTGAGAAGGGAGGGCTATATACTTTAGAATTAATCAAAATGAGAGTTTTATTTTGGTTCAGTTCAAGTTAATGCATTTTGAGGAGAAAAACAATTGCAAAAATGTGGGTACATCATTGGAAATATGCGCGATACCCACGATCGCGATTTATAAAAATAATTTTATGGTCACACATCTCTCGAAAAGGCTCCCATTCGACTTAATCTGCATCAACACACAATATTTATTGTAAAACATGTATAATTAACACTTTCTTCAGAGAAAACGCGCTATATTGATTTGTATTTATCATCGATAATAACGACATTCGAGAAATAAAATCTCGCCTGTACCACTTCTCTTGTTGAACTGAGATTACTGGAATATTATATCGTACAGATTAAAATGGTCGCGAATTTAATTCATGACTTTATCCGGTTGTCCTTTTCTATCTACTGGGAAATTGTCTCTCTCCATTTGTAAGTGGGCTTTATCGTGTAAAATTAGCAGTGCACTTGAAAGACGCATACAGTCCAAGAGAGTTCGTGTTCAACCTGCAATGCTTTACGTGTGACGTGCCTCCCTTGATTCGATTTTTATATGATGGAAAACTGTAAGTACGCTTCTTAGCTTCGTTTTTTTAATTATTCTGGATCCTTCTCTCCTTTCATTAAAGAAATGACTTTCTTGGCCTATTAAGTTTAGATATTTAAAACACCAAAAGTTATACTAAGACTAGAGGGGGCACACTTTTATGTACATACTTTAAACAAGCATCGATCATACTTGATACACGTGAGAGTTATTATTTAATTTCACTTCTTCCACCTCCGACGAAGACATTAAAAAAAGCTGGAATAAAGCGATAAAAAATGTCGCTCTCTTAAAATCTACCGACGATTCTCTCGGTGCTATCGTTGTAACACAAAGTTGGATGATACGTCTAACAAAATTAAAGAATTGAAATAAAAATGAATTTGTTTGTTTGCCCTCTTTAGTGCTGTTAAACCTGTCCAGTAACGATGATTTCATAATAATCTGTTTGATTCTAAAATTTATGTTTCAATAATACATTGAACTTTTTATCAACATTGTTTTTGTGTCAAAGTTTTTTTCTGAAAAAAAAAAGTTTAAAATACCTTTTCAATACTCCGTTTATATTTATATTCAACATGCGTTATAAAATCACACATCACCATACGTTCATGAACAAAAATTGATAAAGACCCTATTACCTCATGATTTAGGATGGTGTCAGATAATAATGGCAATCCAATGAATAGCCGAATAAAATCTGATGAGGTGGACATTTTTTTGCCCGATTGGACGGACAGGGAATTCAAAGAAATACAGTCCTCAGAAATTTCAGATTTTAAGCTTGATAAAACCATAACATGTGGAATTTGGTGCTTCCGGGGGAAGCTTCTGCAAAAATGTGCGAATGAAACGCTTTTTGCAGTTTTGTTTGGCATTCTTTCATCCATGCTCACAGCTTCCTTCACGTATTATTCGGCAACCATAGCAACGGTGGAAAAACGGTTCAGCATACCTAACGTTAATACAGGTAATTACTCCATCACTAATTTATTTTTGATAATTTTATGCTCAAGAAATAATTTCGTCGTCCTTAAATTTTTCATCAGTAGCAATATAGTTTAGTAGCAGCGAGAACTGGCTGTCCTAGAGGCAACAATTTATCTTAATAATTCAATCAAATAATGAAGTAAACCAAATTAGAAGAAAAGTTTTTCTTTAAAAACCCTTTGACATTCAATTTCCGAGGAAATACAAGGTGACCCAGAGTTAAACCGAATAACTACAAGGGCGATCAAACAGGTCGAAATAAGAACTATTTTCAATTCCTCCATAAAGTTTTCATCCAAAATGCCTTAATCAAAGCTACAGCACCCAGGGCCGGATTAAGGGGGTGGCCACATGGGCCGCGGCCCATGGCGGCCAAAGGGGGCGGCAAATTTTGCAATTTTATTAAATGTAGGTATAAAAAAATCGGATTCAGAAAAACTACCCATGAGAAAAAGGGACGAAATCTCTCTTTCCTGAGAGTGTAGTAATTTCTAATTTCGTCGTTTTTCGGTGATACAAGAAATAGCATCTAGTAAAGAGAGGAACTAAACACGCAATTTGGCCTGGAGCTCAACGCAGAAAGGAATGATGACGAGGTCTTGAGATGAAAAAGACAAGCACTCGGCGCGGCGATCGGCATGTAACACATATTAGCGCCTACAAGACTGCATGAATACTTCACCCATTGCGCCAAACACAGTGCGATCAGGAGCGGTTGGCGTGAAACGTATAGCGCCTACAAGACTGCAGGAATACTTCAAGCATTGCGCAAAACAGTGCGATCAGCGCAGCGCAGCGGCGCCGAAGTTAAAATTATTAAACCACATTTTTGTTAGCTCTTTCATAATTTTTTGGTTCATTTCTTATAAACGGAGGACCTTGTCCACATAGAGATAGGTTTACGGAACTTAACTTTCGCGCAAAGTTCCGTGAAATTTTGCCAGTAGTATTGACAGGGCTTTCACAAAAAATGTATCCAACACGAGTAGGTAAACGTGTCTTATGCACTCCTCCCCCTTCGGCACGTTCACTTGATGGTTTTTATTGATGTTTCAAAACGAATGAGATGGGGGCGGCAAAATACAGGCGGCCCATGGGCGGTAAGTAGGTAAATCCGGCCCTGACAGCACCCCGCTTTTGAGGAAATCATTGGTTTCTTCTGAATTTTGGTGACACTTAGAAACCATGGCTCACACAGAATTTGCTAACTCCAAGCAATATTAGAGCTAAATTTATAAATGGCCTGGAAAATATCAACTTCTTAGCAGTGGCGTGGCGTGAATTGCGATGTATCGATTGTTATGTCATTTAAAATTATGGTAAAAAATCGATTATTAAGGTGTTTGCTGCGAACACCCTGTTTATCGATCCTTTTCCATAGGTTTAAATGTCATAACAATCGATATATCGCAAAGCACGGCACGCCGCTGATTCTTAGATTTAAAGCGCATTTTAAGGGCTCCAAGAACGGAAGGCGAGTCCTCTCTCTGAACGATCCAAAACCCCCTAAAATAAGTGGCGTGGCGTCCTGTCCGATAAATCGATTTATCTACCATTTAAACCTATGGGAAATAATCGATTAGCAGGGTGTTCGCAACAAACATTTTAGTAATCGATTCTTTGCCATAGCTTTAAATGTGATAATATCGATAGTTGATGATTCACGCTTCGCCACTGCCTAAAATGATTTTAGCAAGGATTTTAGTAAAATCCCTTAATACGCAACAATGTCAATGTTGATATTTTTAAAACCATAGATCAATGGAACTCTGAAGGCTATGGACGGCCGCCATTCATTATGAGTACATAACCGTAGCCAAAATGAAAAAAGAAAGAAAAAAAAGTTACGGAGAATTCGAGGGAAGAGACATAGCGGCTTGAGACACTTTTGGAAAAAAATTATGGAAGAAAAAAGATGAATATCGACGGTGAAAGTCGGCAATCACATAACTCGATTTGCGATGTCGCAGACTTCCTGTCATACTTTATTCTTTAAACGGAAAACTACTCAACGGTAATTCCTTAAAACTGCCGTGATTTTTCTTCTATGTGCGAGGAAAATTCTGCAAAAACTGGAAGGAATCATGTCCATTTGTTCTCCTTTAAAAAAATAACATAGTTACAGAGATTTTCAGACACCGCAAACGAGTTATGTGATTGCCAACTTGCACCGTCGATATATTATTTCTTCTCTATAAAATAATAAAAATACAAGCTTTTTCTGTTTTTATGAAGAAATAGGTAATACCTTTATTCATAGAGGACGATCCTAAAATCTGGCCGTTTAACCCTGGGCACCGTGTAAAGCAACTTTATCTATAAATGGCCTAAATTTTGCAGTTCGAAACTGCAACTTCTTGCTCATCCGTAAATACATGTATGCGCAAAGGGAAACTAATGGCACACACGTTGTCTCTAAACTAAGCCAGAAATTGTAGCTCCCGATTGCAAAATATTGTCCAACTGTTCATATTTTTGGTAGGTATCATATTCACTGGGACCGAGGTGACACAGGTCCTTTTAGCAGGGTCTATTAGTTACTTTGCAGGCACTAGACATCGACCTCGGATTATAGCTGTTGGAGCGTTTTGTGTAGCACTATGCGCTTTCTTACATGCCTCGCCCTACTTCATTTATGGTGCCGGAGACAATCCTTCAAGTAAGAAACGCATAATATCCTATTTTAAAAGTTTTTGAAAGCTTAATCAGGTATGGAAATCGTTTCAATTTTTTTAGTAGTTCTTTTGTCGAAGCGGGCCTAAGAGAACGCGAAGCGCCCTTTGGGAATTCGGCCGCGTAGCGACCAGGGAGCAGTATACATATAGGGACGAAAGGAGACTTCTTGTCCAAATTCTGTGCAGAGTTTATATTTTGTAATTTCAATAAGATTTTGTCATGAAGGTGGTTTGTCAAGGTTTCTGATGTGGTCTGCTGTGATATATCGCATGCCAGTTCGACCGCGCCAGAAACCGTGACGCGAATTACCCTACGAAAACAAGAAATTATATACACGAGAAATTTCAATTTTTTAAAACGATATACTTTCCACTACTCGTGCGTGAATATGGGGGTCATTATGTGTCCGCTTTGACACAGACATCGAAAAGTGTTGTACATCGAATGATATAACGACTAGATCAGTCTAGTAGGAGCCAACTTCAAGCTGATTTGACCCCCCCCCCTCCAAAACATTTAAAACGACATTTAAAAACGACACTTTAAAACACATTTAAACAGACACAGACATTTTAAAACGACCGATTAACTCTAAAGCATTTGTAAAAGCTGATTTTTTAATTTTTAACTTTTTTATTCACAAAAGTTGACTATAATTTATTATTGTATCCATCATTAATTTTCAGCGGAAGATCGGGACTCAAAGGTTTGTCAAAGCCGAACCGGTTCATGCTCTATGGTGGAGAGCTCTTTTGGGCCGCAAGTTATTATGTTTGCAGCGCAACTTTCGGCTGGTGTGGGGGCGTCTTTGTTCAAAACCGTCGGCCCAGCGTATTTGGACGATAACACCAAACAAACTAAGACAGCAGGGATGATGAGTAAGGCAAAACACATTCTGAAGAGGTCTGAAGAGGTCACATTCTGAAGAGGTGTTGTGATTAATATATTTCGAGTCTAGGACGGATAAAATTTCGATGGAATATTTCATAATTTTTCACGACGTGGGAAATATTGAAGAAATAAATATTATATTTATTTTCTGAGTCGGAAAATGTAACCTGCGATTGAGTATATAAACTGTTTTAAAATTTTAAATTATTTTTTCCCTTCACGAAGATAAGAAAATAATCTTGCCATTTTCCTCATAAAGCTCTCAGAGTCTCTTGTCTTCCTTGTAAGCAAAAATGCAAATATTAAATCAACCAAATAAGTGGTAATGAATAATTGCTTAAGTCATTAGTCATGGTTTTGAATCTGAGTTTTTTTTTCCTTCCTAGAATATATATGGCTATTATATATGACATAAATTTATGCTGGACGTTGAAATCAAACAGGTTTGTTAAATTTGTTACCTTTCCTCACAAGACAGGGGTAACATGCGAATTCGAAGTGGTGTGTCAGGGCAAGTAAGCGCCCTTCGGGGGCCCGGGCCCTGGCACCAGGGACCCAGTATCCCCACCCTTGTGGCGAGCCTGAGCACGAATAATTGTTTCTCTTTGCCGTCACTAATGCACTTTCTTTCCCTTGCTTTATTTACATGTTGTACTGGTTCCGTCTGTCTTAATTATATACGGATGCTTTATGGGCTACACGTGTGCAAGACAGCCGAAGATAAAAGAGATGTAATTGGCTCTCGTTGTTTAACTTTTCTCCCGACTTTGAGCGACAGCTCATTGAGCGCATATAGCGGAGCATGACAAAATCACGCCTCGCGCCATAGCGCCTTCAAGTTTGCAGATGCAGCACAAACATCCATCCAGCACAAATAGTTGCATCTCTGCGCCGTCATGAACGCGCGAAACTCTGATGGAACTTATCTTATGGAACTAGTTCTACTCGTGACGCTGCTAACTGCCTTCAGCACTTAATTTGAATGTGGGAAAACAGACCGTATTTATTTTGCAAATTTTACATGATCATGTATCTTATTTAGTCAAAATCCAGTAATCGCACAAAATTATTAGTTTAATTTTAAAATGCCTCCAATTGTTGAATAGATTTCTTTTCTAAAATAGTTCCATAATTTATGCTCTCATTTTTTAGGGATCCTTTCTATAGAATGATAATATCAGAGAGCTTAAGCAGCTATATTTATTAACTTCCATGGGTCTTTTTTCAGGTCTGAGCTATTTACTCAGCGAAATTAGTCCATTTCTTAGTTTTCAACTCTCAGGTTACTGCCTAAAAAGATATGTCACTCCATACAAAGAAACAAGGTTAAGCCCAACAGACCCAAAATGGCTCGGAGCCTGGTGGATGGGTGAGTAAAGTCCTTTTTCTATGAATTTTCCCGGTTTTCTCTGTCTTTTATGGATTTCTCTGCTGAATATTTTACATTAATTCAGAGAGTAATTAAAATGTGAGAATTTTTTTAAAATCCATCCTTACAACG